ATCATGTGCCCACTCAACTTCAACTGGTTCAGCTCCGACATAGAAAGTAACACCCCTCTCTCCACTCAGTCCAGCAAGCATGGGTGGCAGCACTTGAAGGGGAAAGGTATGTGTCATTGTCTCTGATAAGCATTCATAATATCTATATATTTGTTATATTTCCTCATGTTTTAATGGTTATAAATGCTTAAATCTTGGATTTTGATTATGTTTTGTATTTTGTGGAGTAGGTTGAGGAGTTAAATCAAATTGAATTCAAAATCAAGAGTTTTGGAGAGAAAAAATCGGAGCTCAAAAAGAGATACATTCCAGAAGCGGATTTTGCTTAAAGCGTGGGCACGTCCTGTTTTCCCAAAATGTTCACAAAAGCAGTCAGCAGATAAAGCGTGGGCGCGCCTTACTGGATCCTAGATTCTGACCTAGGGTTACGAATTTGTTGGAGAAAAAGATATGCATGATAGCTGGAAAGATTTATTTACCCTTTCTTAATCTCTCGGATTTGCCAAGACTCCCTATTTTGGTGGGATTTGCCTTTAATTAGTTTCCTGATCTAGATAGGGTAACTATTATTAGATGGAGTTATAAATAGAGAGAAGATTCACAAGAAAAAGGGAAGACATCTATCTCTACCTCTCTCTCTTCTCTTTTCTTGAGGCACTCTTTTAATTATGTGTAGCCAAATACTTTTCTTCCAACTGAAGGATAATTGAAGTTTTGGTTCTTCAAGAATTGTGAGATCTAAATAATTTTCAATGTTCTTTTATTTCTTTACTATTTATATATCTTCTATGTTTATTAACAATTATTGTCTTGATTGATTGATGCAAAGGGCCCATTGTTCAATTATCAGGTTGATAAATTGCCATTTAGAACTTTAAATCCGTAATTGTTTAAGTGTTCTAATATTAGTGGTAAAATAACATAGCTGATTATAAAGGGATTTTCGATTTATGTTATGAAGATGTATAATCTAGTCTAAATGAATCGAGCTTGTGTATTTGTTGGCTAGAATTGGTAGTCTCTCTAATTATTAATGCTGTTGATAGATTAAATCCTAAGAGCTTGTTTAGGGTTGTTTATTGACAAGGGAAGTAATCAAAGAGCTTATTTTGGTTATCGAGGAAGTAAGAAGAGATAGATTGTTAGAGCTTGTTAATAACCAAAACCAATTTAGTGAAGAATAGAAGATTTTATCCTTGTATCTGTGATCAATTCTCTGAACCAATTCCAAAATTATACCTTTGGTTGGATATTTACTTGATATTGATTTCTCCTTAATTTTTGGTTGATTACAATTGCTTTCTTTTATTTCACTTCAAAATTTCAAAACCCCAATTTTCTTTGCTTTAATTTTCATTAAAATAAATCTACCAAATCTCTGTGGATACGACCTTGCTCATCACTGTTACAATTTATATTTTTTTTTTAGAGTGAGAATTTTATTATTTGTTGGATTCGACACCCACCAGTCTCCTTTTAACTAACACTCTATTTGGTTAAATCTTTCTCTATTCGGCCCATTACTTAAATACATGCAGCCAATTTTTCCATTTAGCTCACTCTTTATTCAGTCCATAACACATGCACATCATGCATATTAACTCTCCATTCGACTATTTGCTTAAAACATACATGCCATGCATGTCACTGCTCTAGCTTCAATCAAATGTTTTCAACTACTAGGCCACATAGCCCTCAAAGGTTTCAACTACAAGTCGATCACACCGACTCGACTGTAAGCTCCATACAAGCTCCACTTGGTATACATCATCGGATCGGCCCTGCCAAATTCACGGATTTACACCATCGGATTAGCCCTACTTGATCCACGGATTTACACCTTCGGATCGACCTTGCCCAATCCACGGATTTACACCTTTGGATCAGCCCTGCCCGATCCATGGATTTACACCTCCGGATCAACTATGCTCAATCCACGGACTTACACCATCGGATCGGGCCTGCCCGATCCACGGATTTACACCTTTGGATCGACCCTGCTCAATCCACGGACTTACATCATCAGATTAGGCTTGCCCGATCCACGGATTTACACCTCCGGATCGACCCTACTCGATCCACAGACTTACACCATCGGATCGGCCTTGCCCGATCCACGGATTTATACCTTCGGATTGGCCCTGCTCGATCCACGGATTTACACCTTTAGATCGGCCCTGCCCGATCCACGGATTTACACCTTCGGATCAACCTTGCTCGATCCACATATTTACACCTTTGGATTGACCCTGCTCAATCCATGGATCTACTCCTTCGGATCAGCCTTGCTCGATCCACGGATTTACACCTTCGAATCGACCCTGCTCGATCCACGGATCTACACCTTCGGATCGACCCTGCTCGATCCATGGATCTACACCTTCGGATCGACCCTGCTCGATCCATGGATTTACACCTTCGGATCGACCCTACTCGATCCATGGATTTACACCTTCGGATCGACCCTGCTCGATCCACAAATCTACACCTTCAGATCGACATTGCCCGATCCATGGATTTACACCTTCGGATCGACCTTGCTCGATCCACGGATTTACACCTTCGGATTGACCCTACTCGATCTAGGGATTTACACCTTCGGATTGACTTTGCTCAATCCACGGATCTACACCTTTGGATCGACCTTACCCGATCCACAGATTTACACCTTCGGATCGACCCTGCTCGATCCATGGATTTACATCTTTGGATTGACCCTGCTCAATCCACGGATCTACACCTTCGGATCGGCCTTGCCCGATCCACGGATTTACACCTTTGGATCAACCCTGCTCAATCCACGGATCTACACCTTCGGATCGGCCCTGCCCGATCCACGGATTTACACCTTCTGATCGACCCTGCTCGATCCACTGATTTACACCTTCGATTGGCCCTACCCGATCCATAAAGCTACACATTCAGTCGGCCAGCTGATTGAAGGGTTCTTACACCTCAAATCGACAAGTCATCGACCCAATCCACACAACGATCCATCCGACCTAACGAGCTACTATCACTAATCCGCTCAGTCTGCTCTCATTCGATTAAATCTAGTCGCTAAGCTAAATACTCTTTAACTTAGAGAGTGGGGGGCTAACTGTTAGGGCAAAAAATCGTCTTGGGCTTGACGAGTCCCAATAACGAAATAAACATGTCACGGCCCAAGGCCTCAACCCAATCCCGATTGGGCCTACGCTTAAAATCACCTTGCGACCTACCCACTCTATGAGTTGGGCTATCCTATAAGTTAAGCTAAACTGGGTTTTAGCCCATTAGCCTGTAACAATCTATAAATAGGAAATCAGAATCCCATTCTATTTCCTCTTCTACTAAGATTTCAAATCTTACTCAAACTATTAAACTTGATTTGATAAGGTCAAGAAATCATATCTCTTTCAAGATAGGGATTATCTCCCAAAATAGGACTTAGTGTCCTACTAAGATTCCAAATCTTATTTAAACTATTAAACTTAATCTAATAAGGTCAAGAAATCATATTTCTTTCTTGATAAGGATTATCTCCCAAAAAAGAGGACTCAATGTCCTACTAGGATTTCAACCCCTTGGGTTCACTATAAAAACAGAGGTTTGCCCTCTCATTAGGCATGCAATCCCCCATAGTCAATCTACACTACTCAAAACCATCTATTTGCTCCTAAAGTTCTTGCTCCCAAGAACCCGACGCCTCTGCCGTAGTCCTAGCTTCCGACAAGACTCTTGGTAATTCTTCATCTGCTTAATTCTTATCAAATAATCTCTTTCAGCCTTACTGACTTGAGCGTCAAAGTGCCTACGGCAAACACCACCTCGGTGTTTTCCGGAAGTTTCACGCTTGCCCTTTCATGTGTGCAGGTCCAGCGGATTGTCAGTGGCCTCAACCTCACCGGATCAGACCTTATTTTCATGGCGGTAGATTTTTTGCATCTACAGTCATTATGTGGGCCATATCACTTTAAGAGACTATCATCGTCTTGTTATAAAAATATTCAACGAAACTGCTGTCTTATTCTTATGATGAGAAAGTCGACACTGCATCAACAATACCGAAAACTATACCTAATACGTAACATATAGGTTTTTAGTTTAGAAATCACCAATCATATTAATTATAAAGATAATGCATGTAGAAAATTTTAGAGATGAATTAAATTCATTGCTCCTCGCTAGATTTGGTTGATACACTGTAATTAAGGCCATAGAACTACAATAGTTGCCTCTTCGATTTGCAAGTTTCAACGGCTTCTCGAGAATGGACATTTTTCTTTTGTGCATGCAACAATTACATTATTCTATAACGGAAGCATCCTCAAATCAAGAATATTCCTCAAATCAAGCATCCTCAAATTAAGAATATCTCTCAAATCAAGCAACAAAAATGATTGCAGATTCTTAGTCCTCATTCAAGGACGTGACAGCCATTACTTTCCATGTTTATACTCTGTAATTGATAGCCTTAATTCTAGGATACTTACTTGGAATAGCTCCTGTTAACGTGTATTTATTTCCTCATATGAGCACTTGTAATGTGTGTGTAATAGTTTTCTTTAAACAGTGCAGTAATATAGAATTGAGAGATTCTCAAACTTCATCATATTCCAATAAGAAGAAACCGGCCATCAACTATCAAACTTAATGGCTCGTTGAACTTAATTTGTATGCATTTCCTTAAAGTCTATTAGATTGACCAAGTCTTATAAGTTATAAATGGAGCTTGGACTTCTATACACTGGCATTTTGAATAAAATTAAGTTCATCAGGTTGTTCATCACTATCACACAAACAATGAGAACATAGAAATAGATCTGTAACCAATTATTCATACTTTCCCAGCATATAAACAATCATTTAGTTTCACGAATCAAAAGGGTAATACAAAAACTGACACAAAATAATCACATAGCAGGTTGAATGAATTAACAGTGTCTAGCTTGCCAGAATTTCAGGATATATAACAGTTAATAATATTGGTGATCTGATTAAAAGCTACATTATAAAGCTTATCTAGCTACCACGTCTGAAACTGTTACATCATTAATTGATGAAGTGCTCCCTGAACAACCTTCCCATTGTCGTACAGTTTTATTTTGTAGATTTTGTTCTGAGAAAGCAGGCTTCCTTGGAATCATCACATCGGTGCTTTCATTTTTAAGCATTGTGAAAACTTCCAACATGGAAGGTCGATCAATTGGATTTTCTTGGACGCATAACAGAGCTATTTGCAAGCATCTCACTAATTTACAAGATGAATATGTATCATCTAGTGATTTGTCCATAAATTCCATGCATTTGCCATCTTTCCATAGCTCATACGCCTGAAAAATTATCAAATAATTTATTCTACTGCTAAGTACAATATGATTTACAAATTAGAACTAATGAATAATTTTAAAGATATTAACTTACATAGTCTAGAAGGCTTAAACTTTCATTCGGACCACACAAAAGAGAAATCCTTTTGCCACTTATGATCTGTAGAAGTAGAACCCCAAAACTATAAACATCGGATTTTGTAGAGTACAAGCCTTTTCTAGCATATTCAGGAGAAACATAACCACTGCAATTGATTATTAAAAAAAAAAAAATCAATAAAATAAAATGAAATAAAATTATATAAAAGAAGCAAAATCTTGAGATAATAATATAGCATTAAGATCTATTATATACTATATCCATTTGCAATGTTCCAACCACTTACAGTGTTCCAACAATACGTCCTGTATTAGCTTCAAGATCACTTTTTGCAAACATTCTAGCCATGCCAAAGTCTGATATTTTTGGCTTCGTATCTTCATCTAACAAGATATTACTCAATTTTAGATCTCGATGAATAATAGTCAATCTTGAGTATTCTTGAAGATATAAAAGGCCTTGTATAATTCCTTCAATTATCTGAATACGTTTTTCCCAATCCAAAACATATAGTCTAATAGGGTCTGCATATATAAATTAAATCATAAACAATCAGTAACAATGTAAACTAAATGGCTGACACAAAAGCAAAAGATTGCAAATAAAATTCTAACCAAAAAGGTAAGAGTCTAAGCTTTTATTTGGCATGTATTCGTAGACAAGTATATGTTCATCTCCGTCAATGCAAAAACCCAAAACTCGGAGAAGATTTACATGTTGGAGCTTCGCAGTAAGCGTAACCTCATTCTTGAATTCCTCAAACCCTTGAGTTGATGCTTTTGCAAGTTTCTTCACTGCTATTTCTTGTCCATTTGATAGTATACCCTGAAAAATACACACTTGATAAGCACAAGTTCTTAAAATGTGAAAAAACGTAACAAGATAAAGTACCTTGTAAACAGGACCATATCCACCCTGTCCAAGCTTATTTTTAGTTGAAAATCCATCGGTAGCTGCCTCAATAGCAGGAAACGAATATTCTATCAGATTAGGAACATTGCTTTTAAAATCTCCGGCTGCTACTGCTTTTTTTTCTTTATCATTGGATTGTTTAGTTAAGTCACTCGCCCCTGTCAACCAAGAGAAACATTAATTGGAGAAAGGAAAAAAAAAATTAAATAACATAGTAAACATATATGGCTGGAAACTCTTGCCTTTGAATTTGAGCTTTCTCCTGCAGCAATAACATATCACAAATGTTCCAAGTAGAAGAACAAAAGCTGCCGTTGTAGACAAAATAATTACCATTGAGCGCCTCCTATTATTTTTTCCATTTTTATAATCCTCTTGATGTGAAGAAATACTACTGTTGATCCCAGCTGTAAAAATACACTATGTATGTTAGCTGTAGGTGCCGTCAAGATCTTAATTCAAATCATTGGGAGAGAATCTTGTTGCAGTAATCAAATACTACTACTATATGCGTTGAAATGATCAAGAAGATTACAACTATGAGCGAAGCATTTCTTACCTGCAGCTTGAGAAAGCACCCAATTACGATCATAGGAGACTAGCCATACATAGTAACCAAGTAGCTTCTTCTCCTTGGCATAAGAAATCTTAGCTCTAATAGCCTCAACGTCATCAAAGCCAATCCAAGTTTTTCCGATTAAGCAATAATTCACCACATAAGTTTCATTGTACATGATATGAGCACTATCATATTGCTCAATATAATTCTTGATATACTTGTAGGTCAGAAATCCATCTTGTTTAATAGCTGGTCCTGTTGCTGGTGCACCAATAACATTGTGAGCCAGGTTCACAAGAGTCCACGCATAACCATAGTAAGGCAACCCTAAAACCAACTTATTAGCTGACAATCCTCCATCGATCCATGCCCTTATACCGTAATCAGTGTTTAAAACACTACCTGGATCATACAGAGCTGCATTAGCCGCAGTACTGAAGTTGTTCCACGGTGGCCTAGAGTATTCACTGGCTATAACATGAACCCAATCCAAGTATTGTTGCATCGAGTCTACCGGGTAATTTCCTGAAGATGTCAATGGTGAATATCTAACCCTCGCAGTCAAAATCAATTCTGACGTGCTGGAGTTTCTTGCCTCTGAACTGATAGCAGCTCGCCACTCTTGAAACAGAATACCCATATTGATCTCATCAGAGACTGTGTCTGGATATATCCAAGAAAAGTCCAGGCCACGGAAACCGTAAAGCCTGGCTAATGATACTGAGGAGTCAATAAAAGATTTTCTGTAAGAAGAATTTCTTACCATTAAAGAAATGGTTGAAGAATTTGCTTTTTCACCCCCAATGGATAGAATTGTATCGATTGAGGGATTCTTTTGTTTTAAAGTGTGTGTGAAGTTGGAGATATATTTTTCATCGAGAGGTGATAGATAAAGTTGGTAGGAGACCGGATCAAGACCAGCAAAAGCGCAAATAAGGTGAGTAAATAGAGCAGAATTTATTTCTGAAACGGGAATCGTATCAACTAAATTCCAGTAATAACCAACCCTGATCCAATTAGTTTGCGCTATTGATGGACCGAATTGTAAAGAGAGGAAAATATGGAACACAAGCATGATAATCTTGGATACCATTGGAAAAGCTTCTTGAAAGCCAGCGTTTTATCTGTGAAAACTAAGAGAGAGAATCTAATTTTGGGAGAAAAACTTAAGAGTAATCTTAATCGAGTATTTGATTGATTGATTACAAAGAAGGCTTAACTCATTTATATATAGAGTAATGAGTAAAGAGTTTACAGAGTAATAAGCAAAGAGTAAAGTTAAGGAGTGACCAAGAAGACGACGACTTTAAGAGCATAATCAAAACGGTGTAGTTTTGATTCTTATGTAGACAAAGTCAATGTATTGAAAAGTCAGCACTTGGCCAACATTTTCTATGAGCTCTTAAGCACGTGCTATATATATTTTGATAAATTTCCTCAGTTCTATATATACACACACTTGAGTGGGTGAGAAAGTTCCTCAGTTCTATCTAACTCGAAGATATTTTAATAAATTTCCTGTAGAAGGAAATTAATTAACTACTGCAAACTTTCAAACTATATCTTATCATATGGAAGAAGTTTATGTAAGATAGAAGGTGATACAACATTCGTATAGAAATTTCTTAAATAGTTTTAAATAATGCAATATTAAGGTATGAAGTAGACAGCGAGACTAATCAGCAGTAGAACTTAAAATTTTTACAAGCGCAATAAATCAAATCTGCAAATTAATTAATGCTTTATTTAAGTCCAGGCATTAAAGTTGTAATAAGTAAATTTGTACTAATTTTCTTGAGAAAGTATAAACGCAGCTTCCATTTACTAGCTCCATGAAGACCTTGACCTTGTTATAAGTATTTTGGACATAACAAAGTCAAGGTCATCACTAACATATTCATGAAAATTTCGTAGGAAATTTCTGTGCTCAAACATAAAGACCTTCTAACCCTCGAGTGAAAAGATACAATATTTTATGATATATGAATAGTCAATAAGATTATCTGTGTTTTTTATGCTGACCTGGTCTAGTGCTCGATCGCCTTGGACTTTAATTTCTGGCACGATCAGTTCATTATCTACAGGTGGTCTTAAATTTTTTTTTTTTTTTTTTTTTTTTTTTGGATTAGGAAATTAATAAGAAACTCTTGTATAATAGAATTTATATGAATTATAAGAAAAATAATTCCAAGCAACAAGAATTCAAGTTAAACATCTAAAAAGCAAATCCTGAAAAAACACCAGGCTTCTCAGCAGCCTTAATTGATTAATTCATCTGCCAATCACTTCTTGATTATTTTTTTATCCATTTAAAATGTGGAGATTCAAACTTAAATGATATTTATCTTTCAATGCAACAATATTTATTTACCACCACTTATACTAAATAGTTTTAACTATTTGATAAAAGTTAAATAAGCTATTGATATTTATGAAGTAAACGCAAATTCTAAAATTTTCTTTCTCAATGCTAGCTGTCTTCCAATGCTTTCTTAGCGTAAGAAAAACTTTACCATGACCTTGTTTATAAATCTTATGGAGATAACAAAGTTAAGGTCACATCACTAAAATATTGACGGAAATTTCGGAATGGATAGCGGTGTAGTCACTGATGGATTCTTTTGTTTCCCTATGTCTGTAGACTGTAAAGGTGGAGAAGCATTTTCTATAAGAGAGCAGACGACATGTTGGCACCCAAAGATTAGTAAAATAGCAAGTTTACACTCTTGGTTTCATATATTCGAGATTCTCACCCTTAAAGTAACATTATTTAGCGATTTTTAGTTTTTGACATAGACACAAAGGGTGCTATTACCATATTTTCCTTGATAAATAAATAAATTACATTTTAACTCTCAAATTAGTAGAAGTAGAATAATAACCATCTTATTTTCAAATTTATTTTAATTACATCTTCTTTTTCAACCTTTATATCGTCCCCATCTCCAATCACGCAACCATTGCCATTGCCACCGCTACCTAGTCTCTACCTCTAGAAACTCTATCAACTATCACCAAGGCCGCCATGACCAACATCAAACCCAGATCCAAACTTCATACCCATAATAAAAAAACACCCCATATACAAAAACTAAAACAATTTATCGTTTTTGGTTGACTTTGGCCATTACCCATAACCTTTGTCCAACCACATGGTTCAAGCCCGATCTGGCCCGATTCTGGCTTTGTTGGCCTTCCCCATCACAACCACAAGCACCATCGTCCTTCTATCTCCAAAACCCCAACTTTTGCCATCTAATTCCACCCAATTTTATGTTGGTCACCGCTAGGGTTCACACGATTTCTCTTGCTAGATTCTCATGATTTCCAGAGACCAAAATAAAAATTGACACCACCCTTAGACTCACCATCAACCCCTTAATAAAACCCCCAACCTTTTGGGCCTTGATCGTTTATCGTTCACCAACCGTCGCAAGGGTTCATACGATTCTCTCTTGCTAGATTCTAGCAATTTTCGGTGACAAAAATCAAAATTGACACCACCCTAAGACTCACAATCAACCCTTTAACAAAACCCCCAACCTTCTAGCACAATTTTCATGATCCAAAGAAACTTAAATCACAGTTATCAAAAGGATCATAATCAACCTCATGTTTGAGAGCCAAACCTTTGCTCGGTTTTTGTTTTTCCCATCGTTGCGAATTCAGCTTATACGTTTGGAGAGATCCAATGAGTTCATCGATGTCCATAGCATCCAAATCTCGGCATTCTTCAATAGTGGTGACCTTTGACATAAATCTCCGAGGCAAATAGCAAAGCACTTTCCAGCATTAGAATATGTTCTTCCTAAAGCAAAACATTCATTAGAAATAGCACACACTCTACCATAAAAATCAGTTATAGTCTCATCTTCTTCCATGTTCAAGTTTTCAAAATCAGTGACAAGTCTTCTAAGTCTATTTCGTTTCACGGTACTAGTTCCCTCATTCTTGACTTGGAGTCTATCCCAAGCATCTTTAGCAAGCTCACAATTAGCTATGACTTTTATTTGGTTCACATTAACAACATTAAAAAGAGCATGAAGTGCTTTAGAGTTATAATTTGCCAAAGTTATTTCATCAGTAGTCCAACTAGCAACAGCTTTTGGTTTAGACACTTCATTTTCAACTATAATTGGGGATGTCCAACCATTCACAACCGTAGACCAGACTCTTTCATCAATAAACTTAAGGAAGGCATGCATCCTAGGTCTCCATGTGTAATAGTTAGGACCTTCTAACACTAATCAAAATTCAGTGATTAGATACAAAAACTTCACTACACTAATAAAAAACTTCACTACACTAATCAAATGGATATTAATATCTTTCTTAATCATCCAAATGAGTAACAAGTCGTGTATGCTTTAACTGAAGAATAAATCATTACTAGAATTAAACAAGAAGAGGAATGAGACAATCCTGATGATGAATATAGTACGAAAATACCAAAATTTTCATGCCAAGAAGCTCAAAACATGCAGTTAGATATATTTTGGCTTCAACAAGAAGGTGTCCATGTTGGCGACTTATTACGTACCCACAAGATAAAAGATATGGTAACAACTCTAAAGCATAAATCATTGTCTCAAACAACTTTAGATAAATATTTTATTTCATCTTAAAAATTTAATGTAACATAACATATTTTTTTTTTTTATAATATACGTACAATTATTACTATATAGAGGCAAATTCCTTAAGACAAGACCTAGAAAAACTATAATTTTTTAGAATGTGAAATTTATTCTTATTTATAACTAGCCTAAGTTGAGACCAAAATTTTTTATGACTACATGGAGGTTATTCCTATATGGAGTATTACTATAGAAAGGTTCTACTATATTATGGAACAAATTATAATTTCGTTGAAAGGAAAAAACCGCCAGTTACTGCTAACAAATTTGTATGTATGTTAAGATAAGAAAAAACTAAAATCAGATTGATTGCAGTGCTATAAATTATAGGTTAACTTGGTTCAGTTTAAAGCACATATTTGAAAATTGAAACTTTAAATTAATAATAAGCCAAAATATTTTTTTGCGATTTTTAAAAAAGTTATTTCAATGAATTATCTAGATAAGCAAATAGAAGACCGAGGTCTTTTCATAGACGAGTTTAAACCATTACCTCCCTTGTGATTTTTGAAATTAACGAGTTGGTCACTTTTTTTTCTTCTGGAAAAGGTAAATTCCATAAAAGAAAAGAAACTATACAGAAAATTAGGGGCATACCCTAGAAGAGGTCTAAAAAAGACTAGAATATATGTGCCCATCTTTTTGGGCAAAAGAATGCGAGCATCCGCCCAAAAAGGAGCACGCAAGCTCCAAACAAAGGAGGGAGATGTGCACAAGTGCCCTAACGAAGCTCAAACCAAACAAAAAAGAGAAACGGACACAAGCTCCAAACAAGCGCGCACAAGCTCAAAACAAACAAGACCAATTAATCAGACATGCTCCAAATGGCTCTAAGCTAAGGATGGATGGCATACTTGGAGGCTAGGTCAAAAGCTCAATCTCGGACTATGGAAAAGATCTCATCAGTGATCACATGCGAGGTCTTGCTCTCACAACTAAACACACAAATATTCCTTTCACACCAAATGAAGTCAACTGTGACAAAGAAGACTAACCATGCAAGGAGATGTCTGAAGTCGTCCTTGCATCTATGATGCAGGATTGTCCACTAGATTAAAGCTATCCATAAGAAGAGAGGTTAGGCTATGAGGGTTTTGGAAGAAACCTCTCCCCAGACTGACATTGAGAAAACATAGCTAAAGAATAAATGCTCATGTGTCTTGATCGTAAAGCCAGTAGAGGACACAGTCAACAAAACCAATGAGGCCGTGGGACTAAAGGCGATCCATGGTATGAAGTTTACCCTGATTGGCCAACCGAAGGATAAAGGAGTGCTGGGGATATGCCCTAGAAACCACAAGAGATGGTGTAAAGAGTTCACGTCTAGAGCAAGTTCCAGGCTAAATCAACAGAGAATTTGCTAGAATGGTGTCCCTTCCAAACAATGTAGTCGCTGATCTCAGATCTCGGGGCCTGAGTGATGGAATCCAAAATCGATTGAATAGGTGGATCCCTA